TTTATAGAATTTCTTTATTTGTCTCAGAGGTCTACTAAATTGTCTAAAATATTGTTTTAGGAATGGAAATGAAATTGAATTGGTTTTCAATGTTCGTGGCACCTACACAAACCTCTTTGAAAATTATTGTGAATCCCAGAATTTAAAATTAGAATAATCATATTATAATATAAATTTTTATAGAATTTCTTATTTGTTAAACTTTTTTTGCCAGAACTCACGGGCATAGGAAATTTTATTGGATTTGGTTAAAAGGTCCTTGGTACCTGCAAAATTAATAGAAAAATATTGGAAATTAAATAATTTTGTATTTCTTAGTATTTCACTAGAAATCCTGGAACTATAAACATGCTTAAAAAAATGTTTATTGACCACATGACCCGTACCAAATATTAGATAAGGCTACACAATTAATAGAAAATTTATTAAAGAACATTCACGATTTTTGTGAGGCAAAGACACCTACAACATTAACGACAACGACACCTAATGGCGCAACCTTCAAACGATCCAAAATAGTGCTCTAAGGATTGCTATCGAATGTGTCAAGATGTCGAGCGTGGATCATCTTCATGAGGAGACAAGGATACTGTCAGTACAGCAACATAATGTGTTGCTTGCTAGACCGTTCTTTCTGGCCTGCCATCGGCCAAGTCACCCCAACCACTACATAGTGGTGCAGGATCCTCCTCCACGACACATCCGGAAGGACATTAGACACTTCCGACACATCCAAGACGTCATATCATCCGACCTCAACAGATCGTCAATAGCTGCAGGTCTGAAACAGCTGCACACTCGATGAATCAAGCCGTCGACGGATATTGCCTAAATAAAGTCCTTAATGAACATCCCCCAGCAATCTGTGACTCCGATAAGCGCCCCAGATCCACTAGAACAACTCTAGCTCAGATCTGGTTGAAGCACCATTCTAAATAATTATCAATCACGAATTATTTCTAGCACATGCGATCAGTGCCCAAAATTGTCACAGAACTCCATATAACACAAATCAGCTATTTTCTTGCCTAGTCAGGCCAACAGATTTGCGCCCTGTGGATCTCTGGGTTAGACTAGTGGAAGTGGCCCAATTACTTGCAGCTTCTTATATATATATCCTAACATCTACACACAGCCCAATAACCCCAATAACCCACACACCATCATAACCAAAAATAACCATATCCCATCATCACACAAATCCCGCACACATTCCACACATTAATGAACCCATTAGAGCAAATTATTAATACCTCTACTACATCTATAGGGAAAAACACATGGTTCCAGACGAACTGTTACAACAATAACATTAAAAAAATTTGAGCCTCAGAGCCCAACCACATTTAAAAAATGGTTTAAAGGTTTCGATGTCTACAAAATTTTATAGAATATTTCTCGTGGGCTTTAGAGTCCTATATAATTTTATAGATTTTTTTTCAGTCGGCTTTAGATATCCACAAAATGTTGTAAAAAAAAATATTTTTGAGCCCCACGTCATTGTCTGAGGTGTCTCAGAGCTCTATAAAATCGTATTTTCGTGGATCTCGAGTGCGATAGTATTGGTTGGGAAAGAGGAAACCATTATTTTTATATAAACTATAGGACTTTATTTAACATGCTTCTGAATGTCCGATTTGGGACCGTTTTGTTTTATGATTTGTTGCAATTTTAAAGATAACTTCATAACGCCTCTCTCATAATGCCTGCTCTCTATTTGCAAAAAACTCTAGTAGTCGCTTTTCACAATCCTCCCTAGATAATAAATTTGTATCATTAAAGAAATTTTGCAATGCAAGAAAAAGATGGTGCCAAGTCCGGACTGTATGGCGTATGTATTAAAACTTTCCAACCAAGCTCCCGAAGTTTCTGGCGAGTCACTGTAGATGTGTGAGGCCTAGCGTTGTCCTGGTGGAACACGACACCTAACAGTTGGCCAAGTCTGGCCGTTTCTGGTCAATTGCTATCTTCAAACGGTCCATTTGTTGACAGTAGAGATCAGAATTTAGCGTTTGACCATATAGAAGCAACTCATAATAAATAATCCCCTTCCAGTCCCACCAAATGCATAGCAGAACCTTCCTGGCAGTTAGTCCTGGTTTGACCACCATTTGAGGTGTTTCATCGCTCTTTGACCACGATCGTTTTCTCAAAGGGCTATGTGATGTATGTGATCCATTTCATATCTCCAGCCACCATTGGTTTAATTCCGTTTGGCCAAGGCTTCGCAGATGGAAATTCGATCCATCCTATTTTTTTCTCTTAATTGGTGTGGCAACCAAACATCGAGATTCTTTTTGAATCCAGCTTTGTGTAAATGGTTCAAAGCAGTTTTATGGTTGATTTTTAGGTCCTGGGCGATGTTACGACTGCTAACATGCTGATCGACTTTATCGACATTTTCGTCGAACGGCCTACCTGTGCGAGGTGCATCTTTAACATCAAAATTTGGAAAAATTTTCGTAGACCTCCGAGATCTACTACATTTAAAAAAAAAACCTCTGAGTTTTAATGTTTCAATTTCGTGCAAAATTTTTCATATATATTTTGGAACATTTTTTCCTAATTCTATGATGCCTATACACAATTCGTTCTGGGGCTTCGAGGCTTCTAATATTTAATAAAAACATGACCCTATATATGACCTTAAACATGTTTTTGTTAATTAAAAAGTACAACAATAAAATAGCAAAATAAACATGAAATCCCCATAAATGTTGATGATCTAATTTTGACATGCCATAGGGTCCCACATACAAAAATTAACCTCTAACCATATGGACATTAACCTAATTACACACACGTCCCTAACGCTGCTAAGGTTACAATTTAATTGCAAACATTTTTTATTTACTTCCAACTACCCTACATCCCTCCAAAAAATCATCGAGTCACTGAAAAGGCGATGAAGTCATTACAAGAATCATAAATAAAAGGAATGAAATAAAAAATTCCCTCCCTCCCCTCTCCCTTTTTAAAGCTTTTTTCCAAAAGTCGGCATGGTTACCAAGCTTGTTGTAGGGAATTACGACGCATCACGTGTAAATAGTTGTTGGGTGCGTGTGCCAAGCTACATGTCTGAAACAAACGGAACCTACCATGAAACAGCAACAACAACAACAAAGTACCTTAAAATGATTAGCTTGTTTCATTATGTCGCCGGGTGTTGACATATTATGGCAAATTACAATTTTCTAGGGAGAGAGAGTGAATGAGATAAGGTCTCTTTTTGTTTATAACACAACACGCTTATCTGCAGGTTTTTTTTCTGTTTTCAGAGGTGATGTTGGGGCCAAATCGCCCACAATATCATTATAATTAGAATCACCAGATTTTCATCATCTTTTGTTTTTTGGGGCTTGGTGGAAGATTTTGAAACACTTTTTTGTTTTTGCTTCATCTAAAGAGAAGATAAGGTCTTATCTGAGATCTCCATAGTAATAAAAAATTTTTGGAACCTAAAAAAAATTAAAAAAATATTAATGTAGAAATTTTGAATGAAACCCCCTTATATATCAACAACAACAACTGTCACTGTCCATTTTCTTTTTCGTTTCCACAAAGTGTGTGCATGTTCGTCACTCTTGACAACCTGTGTATGCACAATGTCTGCGAACATGAAGGGGGACCACTTAAAAAATGGCATAAACGCTTAAGCGTCTGTCGGGGCGTATAATGAACGTTGTTGCCTCCATGTTCTGTCACACCCATACAATTTTTTGTTGCCTCTTTTACATAAAACACATGTTTAAACGCCACCAACCAGAACTAAGCAGATTATGGCCTGAACACAAAATTGACCTAAGGTAACCCCCATGCCAATAAGGGCGGGAGCCGATAGATATCTGATTAAAATGCTAAATCATCGTCAAGTAGTCAGCCAAGTGACAGCCACTTTACAACAACAAGCAGACAATCATAATCTGTCATTTGTATTGAATATCAATAACTGAAGTGTGTGTGAGGGTGCTTCTTTAGATTTATGAGATATTCCTCCAAAGGCTGATGGATTTATGATGAAATGTCAAAAGGAACCAACTAATAATAATCTAAATGATAATAAAGTAGAATTGTTTATAGAAAATGTTTAATTCAGCTTAGCTGAATAGAATTTCCAATTCAGCCTGGCTGAATAGAATTTCCAATAGGAAATTTTCAATTCTGCCTGGCTGAATAGAATTTCCAATAGGAAATTTTCAATTCAGCCTGGCTGAATAGAATTTCCAATAGGAAATTTTCAATTCAGCCAGGCTGAATGGAATTTCCAATAGGAAATTTTCAATTCAGCCTGGCTGAATGGAATTTCTAATAGGAAATTTTCAATTCAGCCTGGCTGAATAGAGTTTCCAATAGGAAATTTTCAATTCAGCTTGGATGAATAGAATTTCCAATAGGGAATTTTCAATTCAGCTTGGCTGAATATAATTCCTGAGAGGAAATTTACAACTCAGCCTCGCTGAATAGAATTTCCGTTAGGAAACTTTCAATTCAGATTGGCTGAATAGAATTTCCAATAGGTATTTTTCAATTTAGCTTGGCTGAATAGAATTTCCAGTAGGAAATTCTCAATTCAGCATGGCTGAATATGATTTCCGATAGGAAATTTTCAATTCAGCTTGGCTGAATATAATTTCCGACAGGACATTTCCAATTCAGCTTGGCTGAATAGAATTTCCGAGAGGACATTTCAAATTCAGCTTGGCTGAATAGAATTTTCGATAGGATATTTTCAATTCAGCCTAGCTAAATAGAATTTCCAATAAGAAATTTTCATTTCAGCCTGGCTGAATAGAATTTCCAATAGGAAATTTTCAATTCAGCCTTGCTGAATAGAATTTCCAATAGGAAAATTTCAATTCAGCCTGACTGAATAATTTTTTTATAGTTATATTAAAATAATGAAATTATGAACTACTACTTCTTTTAATCATTTTTATTGTTTTTTTTTCATTTTCTCTTTATAATAATTTATTATTTTCTTTTCTTGTCCTTCCTTACAGCGCAAATTGAGGGCTGCGCCTTTGATGAACTTGGTCTTTGCCAATCGTAAGCTATCCTTTTACGACACCAGCAATCCTTCAAATGAACAGCCACGGTAAGTAATTGCGTTCGCTTCCTATTTTCAATACTACCTATAAATATTGTTTATACAAAATAAAAATAGAATTACAAATACAAATACATAGGTGGCTAGTTATTACCACAAAAGAATCATCACAAATCAATTGTCCTTCATTGTTATTTGTTTACCAACAATTCTCATTCACATTACAAAACAAGAAGAAGAACAAAAACAACTATCACCTTAATAGTCTAAAGAGCATCCTCAATAAAAATCAAGATGGAGGTGTGTTTGTGGGCTGGTTGAGTGTGTGTGTATGTTTGCAAGTGTGATTGATTGATTTGCTCAACAAAATAATGTTTTTGTTGTTGTTCATAAATTTTTCATAGCCCGACTAACACACTTTCAGATTATTTTTAGAAATTGTAAACAAACGAACCTACGACGTGCACTTTCTCCCTCTCTTCTCACACATAGACACACACATTTTGCACACTTATACACGTTTATAAATATTTTGTAAATTTACAATAATTTTTTTTTTTTTTTTTGGGTTTCATATATTATCTGAATTGTTAAAGTGTGTGTGTGTGTGTGGTGATCGTACGAAATGTGTTAATCAATTGTCTGAATACATCCATACATACACCCATATGTATGTATGTGGTCTTACATTTGTGTTCATGTAAATGTTAAAAACAAATGAGAATTAGTTATAAACAAGAAAATAACAGTGGACATTTCGATTTTAAAAACAATAACAAAAACAAAAATATTTTGTTCGCACCTTTTATTGTAAAGAACAAATATTATGAAAATTGGCTATTTAAAATTTCACAAAATATTGACTCAATTCTATTGTTGAGTAATTTTTAAAAACAAAAATAAAATGTTTGGATTTCCTTAAAGATTTAAAAATAACGTTCTGTAAGGGAGCGGATGGATAGTTGATACCCTACAAATCCTTAATTGAAGCATAGCTGGAAAGGAGCCTGGGAATATGTTGATACTGGCCTGAATAAGATTTTCTATGGAAAATTTGCATAAATATCTATAGGAAATCTTCAATTCAGCCTGGCTGAATAAGATTTTCTATAGGAAATTTTTAATTCAGCCTGGCTGAATAAGATTTTCTATAGGAAATTTTTAATTCAGCCTGGCTGAATAAGATTTTCTATAGAAAATCTTCAATACAGCCTGGCTGAATAGGATTTTCCACAGGAAATCTTCAATTCAGCCTGGCTGAAAGGATTTTCCACAGGAAATCTTCAATTCAGCCTGGCTGAATAGGATTTTCCACAGGAAATCTTCAATTCAGCCTGGCTGAATAGGATTTTCCACAGGAAATCTTCAATTCAGCCTGGCTGAATGTGATTTTCTATAGGAAATCTTCAATTCTGCATGTCTGAATAAGGTTTTCTATAGGAAATATTCATTTCAGCCTGGCTGAATAAGGTTTTCTATAGGAAATTTGCAATTCAGCCTGGCTGAATAGGATTTCAATGGGAAATCTTCAATTCAGCCTGGCCTTAATAGGATTTTCAATGGGAAATCTTCAATTCAGCCTGGCTGAATAAGATTTTCTATAGGAAATCCTCAATTCAGCCTTGCTGAATAAGATTTTCTATTGGAAAATTTCAATTTAGCCTGACTTGAATAAGATTTTTTATAGGAAAACTTCAATTTAGCCTGGCTGAATAGGATTTTCTATAGGAAAACTTCAATTCAGCCTGGCTGAATAGGATTTTCTATAGGAAAACTTCAATTCAGCCTGGCTGAATAGGATTTTCTATAGGAAAATTTCAATTCAGCCTGGCTGAATAGGTAATCTTCAATTCAGCCTTATTGAATAAGATTTTTCTATAGGAAATCTTCAATTCAGCCTGGTTGAATACGATTTTCTATAGTAAATCTTCAATTCAGCCTGGCTGAATAAGATTTACTATATTAAATTAAATTTTGCTCAGCTGAATTTTGTTTTTTGTTGCAGAATTTCAATTCAGCTCAGCTGAATTAAATTTAACAACCCAAAATTTTCAATAAACTTAGCTGAATTCCGTAAAATTCATTTTTTTCTCCCCTGAATTGCGTTTTTTGGCACCACTGTGTCAGTTTTATGGACACTCTTTTATTTTATGTGGTTTTGTTGGTTCTCTTTCAAATAATTCGACCAAAAAACTAAAAATTAATCATGATCATTCAAAAAAGTGCTAATGCAAAAAAGGTTTTAAAAATACTATTTAAAATTGTTGTTGTTGTCTTCTAAAACATTAGTATTTACACACAGACAATAATTGTTTTTGTTGTTGTTATTTTTGTTTTTCTTCGACATTGGTAGTCGATATGGATATGCAATGTTGTTGGTATTATTTGAAAGGGTTGCCAAAATCCAAATGATGAAGACAAGTTTTTTATCGTCTGAACAACAACAACAACAAATTGAAAATTGTAATCAAAAAAATAAAATGACTTTGCTAATTGAAAATTATTTCACACCTTTTGTGGGGCCCCTTTTGCTCGACAGCCAAAAAACCCTCACCAAAGTGATTTCTTATAAATATGGCTAAAATTCGGAGCTGCCTTCTATTTTTTGTAAAAATTCGTTAACGGACGGCTGTCTAAATCTTTTTCGGTGTGTGTCGGCGCGTAACTTACAAAGCAAAAAATATGAATTCGAAAAGTTTAAATCTGCTCGACATGGCCGATGATCGTGTCCCCGAAAATAATAACACCGTGGACTTGCGGGAATTTGTGCATGAGAAAATCGTGAATGAAATGCAGTTGATGTCGAGCGACGAATTGGATGCCATCTTGCAGGCCAACACTCTGGAGCAGCAAAAGCAACAGCAAGACCTGTTGCATGGCAAGCAACCCACAGCAGATTTATCTCCCGATGAGGAGATTATCAATGAAATGGTTCAAGGTCTTTGTTCGACAAAACAAAAATCAACGTTCGTAAAGATCATAGCCAAGTATATCAGGTAAGCAGGCAGGCAGGGTGTGAGGAGAATCGTGAGTGCAAACCAAAATGAAAAAATGTGACTCGTGAGATGATCACGAGCCTTTAAAGTGGGTAAACCCGAACGTCATAAAAATCAACATCATACTGCAGAAATGCGCAAAACAATTCTTGCAAATCAAAATAAACCCCAAATTTTAATCATAAAACAAGTTTACGTGAAAGTACTACTCCCCATGCCATGCTGGATCGCGGAGATTAGATAAACACACCATGCCCTCCATGCGTTCTAGAAATGTTGCGCATTTATCTCGGCTACGTTGATTAAATCAGTTTCTGGTAATAAAACATTTAATTGCCCTGCCAAAAATAATAACCGATGTACAAATATACATACATACGCGAATGGATGTGTATGTGCGAGCCTCCAAAATTCCATTCAGTCGGGCGCCATATCTTATCGCGCAGAGTGAATGCCTGGCACTTGTCTGCAAAATTCTAAACTTTGTTCTATGAATAATTCGGTAATAAATTTACGGCTTATGAATGAAATATTCCGGGGGAATTTTTGATAATTACCAGTAGTAGTCGGCTGATGAAATTCGAAAAAAAATTAAATAAATTTGAGTAATTTAAGACATTGAGAAGCCAATGAGTCATTGTAAAATTTAATTCAGCTGAGCTGAATTGTAAAATTTTCTATAGGAAATTGTTTTGCAACTAAGTAGAATTAAAAAAAATATATATTCAGCTAAGCTGAATTGATTTTTTTCGGTAAAACACTTTATTCAGCTAAATTAAAATGAAAATTTTCAATAATATGATATGAAAATATAAATAATAATTTCAAAAAAAATTGTGTTGAGCTAATGAAAATTGAAAATTTTCTATGGAAACTTGTATTCAGCTGAGCTGAATTAAAAATGTTCTATAAAATATAATATTCCGCAAGGCTGAATTGAAAAAATGCTATTGAAAATTATATTCAGCTAGCCTGAATTAAATATTTTCTATAGAAAATTCTATTCCATGCTGAATGGAAAAATTCGTATTGAAATTTGTATTCAGCCTGGCTGAATATGATTTTCTATGTAAAATATACAATTTTGTCTGCCTGAATTAGGTTTTCTATACGAAAACTTCAATTCAGCCTGAATGATTTTGGTTTTCTTATGAATACATTAATTCAGCCTAGCTTAATTGTGTTTTCTACAGGATGTGTACAACTCGGCTCGGCTGAATTGGGGTTTCAGTTGGGCATCTACAATTTAGACCTGCTGAATTCGGATTAGTATAGAAAATCTACAATTTAACCCAACTGAATTATTACTTTTTTTATAGAAAATCTTTATTATTTACTCGTCTGAATTGAGGTTTCTATAGAAAATTTACAATTCAGCTTGGCTGAATTAAGTTTTCAATAGGAAATATACAATTTAGCCCAGCTGAATTGCGTTTCCTGTAGAAAATATAAAATTTACACCCGCTGAATTAGGTTTACTAAAGGAAATTTTCAATGTTGCCCTGCTGAATTTAGTTTTCTATAGGAAATGTACAATTCTGCTTAGCTGAATTTGGTTTTCTATAGGAAATCTACAATTCAGCCTGGCTGAATTAGGTTTTCTATGTGAGATCTTCAATTCAGCCCAGCTGAAATTAGTTTTCTATAGGAAAACTACAAATTATCACACTTAAATTGGGTTTTCTATAGGACAACTTCAATTTAGCCTGTCTAAATTTGATTTTCTGTAGGAAAACTTCAATTCAGCCCAGCTGTATTAAGTTTTTTATAGGAAAGCTTGAAATCAACCCAGCTGAATTTAGTTTTCTATACGAAATCTACAATTTAGCCCAGTTAAAATGGGGTTTCAATAGAAAAACTACAATTCGGCCTGGCTGAATATTATTTTCTACAGGAAAACTTCAATTCAGCCTGACTGAATTAGGTTTTCTATAGGAAATCTACAATTCAGCTCAGCTGAATTAGGTTTTCTATACGAAATCTTCAATTCAGACCGGCGGAATTGGGGTTTCTATAGTAAAACTTCAATTCAGCCTGGCTGAATTAGGATTTATACATGAAATCTACAATTCAGCTTAGCTGAATTTGAGTTTTTCTATGAACTTCATTAATATTGGCTTGAATTTCTTTCATTAGACCATCTCTGAACCGCGACTTAAATGAGACGAAACAAAATAGTTCCGACTGTAGCTAGTTTCGAAGGTGACAATTATAATTAGTTTCAATTAGTCAGCGAATTAAGACAAAGATTCAAAGAATTTTTAGTTAAATTTAAAACAAAAAAGAGGAATTAAAAATAAAACACGATAATAACACGAGCATTTAGAAATTTTCAATATAGCATAAGTGGAAAAATTAACACCTCCGGGGTGGGGGTATTTAGGTATGTCTTGGGGGTATGTGTGTGTATGTATGGTGTGTTTTATTTCTCTGAAACAAAAGTATATATACGTATATGTATATTGGGACAGACTTAGAGCCAGACAGACAAATGGATGAATGTATGGATACATATTGACAATCCTCCTCTGTATGTTTATATAGAGCGAATTTTTACGCACACACCTCCCTAGCCGTTCGTTGGTGTGTCAATAAAGATAAAAGTTGTGAAAATTTTGTTCTGCTTGGTTTTGCTTTTATAAAACCAATCCTACCAACCAACCGACAACGAACCCAATTAACATATAGTAAACATCGTCGATCATACACTTAGTAACTTACTAATACTTGTATTAAATCAGACAGCCAACCGAACAGAAAAAAATTAATAAATAAATATTTTATTTTCATCGTTGCTGTTTGTGTTGTTGCTGCGACCGATATATTCGAGAGAGTCCAACAAAAACAAATATAAATCAAATAAGGCTATAAATTGGCAAATCATATGAATATCGGATAACAGTCGCAATAATTCAGCCAAAGGCTTAACATATTCTATTCCGAAGTAGGCCTTCGCGGAGAATCAATAACGTCTTCCTTTTTATCAGTTCTTTTTTGATAAACATTGACTTTGATTTAATAAATAATTCGGATATTTTTTTTTTTGAATTTGTATTAATATAAATAATAATTTTGTGTAGTGCCATTTGATATATCCTTTGATCGTATTTGTATTCGGTTTCGCCCCCAAAAATTATGGTGTTAAGTGAAGAAATCGAACAATTGAAACAGTTACAACAAGAAATGGAAAGCAAATTGAATCCTGCTGAAAATAAAGAAGATTCAGAATTAGTTAATACCGAAACTGCTCATGTCATTGAAGAAATAATTGAAGGTATATCGCTGCAAGGTCGCCGCGGTACATTGGTGCGCACAATATCAGCTGTTTTAAGGTAAATGGAAAGGAAAGAGTGAAATGGAAATAATTTCATATTCAAATTTATAAAAATCCAAAGTGAAGACTTTAACATGTGATAATAGTGTACAAAAATAAATATGTACTCCTAAAAGTATGCAGCAGGAATGATACAAACTATAAGCTATTACATTTACGATTAGACTTTTAATGAGTTGCAGATATATAAAATTTAAATATTAAATATAATTTTTAAACTTAAAACTTCAATTCAGCTCATTCAGACCGGCTGAATTGGTTTTTATATAGGAAAACTTCAATACAGCCCGACTGAATTGGGTTTCCTATGAAAAATCTTCAATTCAGCCCGGCTGTATTGGATTTCTTTAGGAAAACTTCAATTCAGACCCGCTGAATTGGGTTTTCTATAGGAAAACTTCAATTTAGCCCCGCTGAATTGGGTTTTCTATAAGAAAACATCGGCTGAATTCGATATTCTATAAGAAAACTTCAATTCAGCCCGGCTGAATTGGCTTTTCTATAGGAAAATTTCAATTCAGCCCAGCTGAATTCGGTTTTCTATAGGAAAACTTCAATGCAGCCAGGCTGAATTCAGTTTTCTATAGAAAATCTTCAATTCAGCCCGGTTGAATTGGTTTTCTATTGGAAATCTTCAAATCAGCCCTGCTGAATTGCGTTTTCTATAGGAAAACTTCAATTCAGCCCTGCTGAATAACATTTTCTATAGGAAAACATCAATTCAGGCTATCCGGAATTATAGAAAACCTTAAAAAATTTTAAATAAATGTATGCACACACACCTCGGGGTGTATACCTCTCACACTCCCTTTTTTTCCCCAGAAAACGAACACATAATATTGACGCATAGCGTACGGTAAATTAATACGTCATGTGCTTCCTTGAACTAGCTGGTATAGCCGATAATGTGTATGTTCATAAACAGTTATTTGATATCTATGTTATCGATAATGTGTACGAAACAATTATTTTGTTTTATGACGCTTAATGTGGTAAACGCTTATTTTGATTAATTTATTTTAGGGATACTTCTGAGAGAAATCAAATTGCTTAATTGCTAATCAGGTCTTCTATGACCTTAGAAGACCTACATTCCAAATTTCTTCTAATTATATTCCATAGAAAATTGATACTCTAAATGTGTTCTATTCCTAAAATGCTTCCTGAATGAAGGTAAAATAAAAATTAATATATGGAATAAATTTTATAACAATTTTATATTGCCGGGTCTACTGTTATAATCCTAAAAAATTATGAGTATTTGATTAATTTATTTCATCAGAATACAGAGGCGTATGATAAATGACAGTCATCATACGTCTAGACGGTACCTCAGAGGAAGAGAGAGAAATACAATTTTTTAATATTATAAACTTTGATTTATTCTGCTCTTTTTGATAAGAAAAACGTAAAAAAATATTGGAATGGTCTAAAATATAGGAGAGTATAATAAATGATAGTCATCATAGAACCTCTGAGGTACAAGATGACGTTAATCACCGCCTGGGGTAATTTATTAATAATTTTCAAATTACAATATTGTGAAATAAATATCTTATTTTTAAATTCTCAGAACTATATTCTATAGATCCTACAAAAATATATGCATACGTTCTATAAATGAATTGTATTACATTTGGGGCGCATAACATATGATACTCGTCATACGTCCATCAGAAATTAGTCTATTTATAATAGCGTATGACATATGACAGTCATAATACGCCCTCTGGGATAACATGAAGAAGAATAGTTTATAGATGAATTAAAAAGTATAATATTTTTTAAGAAATCTTATCAAATAAATTTTTTAAAAAATTGTTATATTGTCGTCCTAACAACTTCTATAAATCCAACAACGAAATATATGCATTAATTAATTTTAATGCGTATAACATATGATACTCATCATACGTCCTGAGGTACCCCAAATAAATTAGTCGATTATAATTAAGTGAAAATATAGACAAATTTCTAAAATTATTTTATATATAAAACAATTGTACAAAGGGTTTTTATATCGTCATGTTCACTGTTATAAATTCTAAAAAAATATATTGTATATAAATGCGATATATTTCATTTTGTGTATATGTGTATGTGTGTGCGTTTATATGTGCCAATTAATTAATTATAATTTTTTGATTTACACTCATAACTCATTGGTCCTGAGTCTAAGCTATTTTTAGAATGTCTATCTGGAAACTATCAAATTATCACCAACTATTTCAAGCTTTAACGTATTGTATAATCAATATTAATTAGTGGACTTTTCTTTTGCGGGGTCGTATTACTAATTAATAGTAATTCTATGATATGAGGCTTTATCATCCTACAACCACCATTATTACACACATATCAAATGGAAAAATACCATACGTGAATAGGGAATGGGAATTTAAATACACATGACTTATTTCTTTTTATTAGGAGAGTGGGTTGTCGTGATCAGATGCCTTGGAGTTCAAATTTTGAAATATTATCTTTTGTAGAACAAATTTTTGCATATTAATATTCCAACATTTAAACTCCAAAGCAGCTCATTGCAACCTCCGCACTTTCAAACAAATATATTTTCATTTACAATTTTAATTTTGTTTTACAAATTGTCACATTTTCAAACAAAAAATCGCCCTCATCCCCTGTGTCGTATAATTGATTTAATTAAGGTATCACGGGTTGTATGATGAATGGTGTAAGCAAACATTACTTATTCGTCTTTTATTACCTACATTTCACGTGCACAGCAAGTCCATTGTGAATTTGAAGCAAACGTGGAAATGTATTTCTCATTTTTCTTTCACCCAAACAAAAAACAATCTAATTTTTTCCACTTAGTAATTTTTTTTATTTATTTTCCATTTTGTTGAAACCGAAAAAAAACACACAATACAATTTCGATTATCCGTTGAAAAACACACACCAACAAAACAAAACATGCAAAAAATTAAAAAAAAAATACAGTTTGCAGAAACGCTGCTACTCAGTTCGACCGTGAGTAATGATGATGATACTGTGTTTTTATTAAAGTATTTGTTTTTGTTTCTTAGTTATTTGTTTTAAATAAAAAATACATTTTATTTGGCATTTTCCATGAACCAAGTGTTTTGTCTGGGATAAATAAAAAGGAAATATATATTTTTGTTTTGTTTTACTTTAAAAAATAAATTGTTTCATTTGGTGCTTTAGTATTAGTACGCATTCTTCACCTGCACTTCTTGTTTCCTTTGTTGTTTTATTTGTTTTCGTTTTCTTGGAAAATGAAATATAAAATTTAGCATTTGTTGAAATTAGTTCTTGTTTTTCGTAGATTTTTCCATTTGCTTTCATTTTTATTTTCAAATATATTTAAATTAAAAATTCCAACTAAAATTTAAATTGTTGCCAAAAAATCCAAGTATTGTCTCTGTCTAATTATGAAATAATATTTTTTTTTTTTTGAATATTCGATTGTGTTTTTTTATTTTTTTTATAAAATATATTATATTATTATATAACAAATATGATGGATATATGGGCGTATACGTTACGACATAAATCATATGCGATGTGGTACACAATGTTTCAAAAATAAATTGACGACAATTAAATTTAAAAAAATATTACATAATTCAGCTTATATTTATAGCATTATACCTAACACATGCCACAGGCCTTCCAAAAATATTTAATGAGTTATAGAAATTCCCGGAAGTAATATATAGACTCTCTATAAAGCAGCCGTAGCCAAATCTTCAATAGACGGAAAATTTCCTGAAGATAAAATTCATTTCATTTCAAATTCTTTTAGAAAAGACTTTTTAAATTGTGATCAGTATGTAATTAGGTGGTCCATATCAAGGTCCACTTTTTAGGTGACAGAAAAGCCTTTCTAAATGCCATCCATATGTGAAAACAACTCTTTCAAGGCCCACTTTTTAGCTCTTCGGTGGTAGAAAGAAGTCACTCTAGTATACAATATTATCTAAAAGTGTTTTTCCAAAAGAAAATCGCTCATCAGTTTACATATAAAATATAAAGTATTGTATAACATATAATTTAAAGCTCCAAAAATTCTACCTAATGAGCTCTAATTCTATCACAGGAAATGCCTATTTGCGGTGGAAAACCTTCTAAGAGCCTTATTGAAATATATGAAATTTCTTTCATACATATTGGCGTATACATAGTGGCATATATCATACGCCATAGAAACCCCTAAATGATAATCACTATATGTCATTATTTATTCCAATGAAATTTGGAAACATAGTTTTCAAATTGATTATAAAAATATCCTTCTAGTAAGGGCCTTATTCAAATGTATGAGATTTCTCTCAACTCTTTAACATGGTGGCGAATACTTATTGGCATCTATGCTCTAGATATCCGAACACAAGATCCTCATTTAATATTAAAAATATTCCCCTAGTTACTGATAGAATATGTATGAGATTTCTTTAAATTCTTTGATATAGTGGCGTATACATAGCGACATCTATTATACGCTCCAGGTACCCAGAAATGATATTCGATATATGTCATTACAATCTTTGTTCCAAGGAATTTCAGAATAAAAGTTTTGCATTTCAAAATGAGTAAATGAGATTTCTTTCAAATCTTTAACATAGTGGCGTATAAGTCACGACAGATATCATACGCTCTACAGATCCATATTGAAGATATTTAACTTGTCTTCTACAAAGAGGATATCTTCGGAATTATTTTAATATGTTGTAGATCATCAGAGAGCAGAATAAGAAAGAATAAGAAATCGTTAAGAAATCTTCGATAGCTAGAGAAGATTTAAAAGGACGCTAATAACTTGCAGGTCATTGGAAATTCACAATAACCAATTTTAGGATATAAGCTTTTATAAGGGAAGTATGCCTATATCTAGGAGATAAATATCAGTCAGTAAGTAATCAATTGTCCACTCCCTCCTTGTTAATTGGAATTTGAGCTGAAACTCTCTTATATGTTCCATACAGAAGTGTTATGTTGAACTTACCACTGTGACGTATACTTTTCGACATACGTCATACGTTCAATGGTACTCCAAATAAAAATATAATTAATTTTTCAATTTCAATCTAGATTTTCACTTGAAAATCTCACAGATCCAAAATATTGATAAGTGATTAAAAATATTTAGTGAACCTCAAAGCGAACTTAATAATAACACAATAAATTATTAATATGACATTAATTGTGACATAGTGACATATACCTTTTATTGTACTTCTTTAATATACAAGTAAATAGAAGTTATGAGTTATCGATGGCGTATAAGTAGCGACATTAGTTATACGACCCATTAGTTTTATTATTCGGTGGCGTATAAATGTCGTCATTACTTATACGCACACATAACAGTGTTCTTCCTGGTTCCATTATATCCAGGTAAATAGTGATTGAAATAAATTTTCTGAAAGGTTTTCGGTAATAAAAAACCTCCACAGATATTTAAATTATTTTTTTTTTGAGTTTCTGAAGAAGAAAAAAATATGGTAACGCTTAGTTACTTCAATGGGTCAATTGTTTTATATTAAATTAATATATTGTATATCCCTAAAAAATAATAGAAAATCTTCTACAAATCGTCGATAGCTGGAATGGTATATAAAATAGTGTCTATATATTGGAGACAATTTTATTTCGATGGCGTATACGTACCGCCATTATTTATACGACCTGTACTACAACGATAATAATCAATTGTGGCCTATACACACTGACATCAGTTATACGCACAATGGTACACATATATAAAACAATATTTAATCAAAATAGTAGTTTTCCTATTTCATTGAAAATTAAATTTTTTGGCGCCCAAATGTTTTTCTATTTATATTCTTGTTCAAATGCGTAGGTTCTTCAATGAATTCTCAGAAAACACAATAACAATCTTCTACAAATCTTTGGTAGATACAATGGTATTTAAAATAACGTCGATATATTGGAGACAATTTTTTATCGATGTCGTATACGTACCGTCATTACTTATACGACCTGCACTACAACGATAATAATTATTTGTGGCATATACACACTGACATCAGTTATACGCACAATGGTACATAGAAATAAAACAAACTTAAATCGATATAGTGGAAGTTGTCCTCTTTCATTGAAAATTAATTTTTTTTTGGCGCCCAAATGTTTTTTTCTATTTATATTTTTGTTTGGACATTGTCCGTTCCACCCTATTACATTTTTTTTCTAATATTAACATATTAAAATTCTTGTCTCTTTGCTCAATTAAGATGTCTGAACAGAAAAATATGTTTTTTTTTTGTCACAACGTTTGAACTTTGAACGGAAGATTTTCAAAAATCAAAAAAAATGTGTAGTCGATGTTCGAACAAACATTTAATTTGATTTAGAAAATGTTGTTGTTGAATGACTGCTGTCACTTTGTTGTGCTAAATTTAGAATACAATTAAATAGATATTGGGAATATTTGGGAGAAAATTAAGAAATTTATAAAATATAAAATTGAAAAAAAAATGGACACTTAATTCATAAATTGAATAGAAATTTTAGAAATTATTATATATTTAGGGAACATTTTTTTATTAGCCAATATTAAACTTGTTTATAAAGATTTTAAAACATATTTATTGAAAATCTCTAAAATGATATTTTTATTATTCAAAATTATAGTTATTTTTAGCCGAATTTGTTTGCTAACAAATCAATATAAGAGATTGTTTTTGTATTCTGTTACTTTAAATTTCTTTTTTTCCTAATATTCTCCCTTTACCAATAAATGTCATTCACTTCTATGAAAATAGTCCAACTACCCCCCTGATTCCAATGTTATGGTCATATATATTCCCATACACAATTTATCAAAAATGTTTCAATAATTTTATTCTTCACCACAATTCAGGTCACATCTGTCGCGCTGGCATTTCGCTTGTCGTTCGCGCCCTTTTATTGTCAATCACGACGACAACGATCAATTAAGACCGCATACATTGATTTGTATTTCTTTATTTAGACGCCTTTTTCTTATATTTATTTTATTTCTGCTAATAATTGCTAGCCATTTCTTTGATTGGAAATCAATCTGCAAAAAATTCTAAACAAAATTGTCTTTAATTGATTTGCTGACGAAAACTAACGGCTGTCAGATGTGTTAATATATGATGGAAGTCGGAGAATTTATCGTCAGTTGGCGAAAGTCTTTGAAGGCGGTTACTAGTCGAGAAAAGTGTTATAAAAAAACTATCCTAACGACATCAAGGATATATCGGGACAACATCTATATTTTTTGTGAATATAAAGTTATGGAATTTGCCATTCGTGAATCAATCATGATTGATTATTATTGTTTGAGGTGTCTACCCATTGTTAACCGGTAATAAGCATGAAGAGATCAGTGAAAAAATAAGAAATCTGAGAAAGAAAAGTGAAAGAAAAATAGAAAAGACAAATCCTGATGAAGAAATGTTCAAAAATACAAAGGATATCAAATCAACTGTGACAAAAAAATAAATTAAATTAAATAAAAAAAACATTTGACATAGAAAGAGGACCCTCTGTAGGTCATATATAAGTTCTTATATTTCTAAAACGCCTTCAGAAGACCCATAGTATAACATTAATATAGAGTCTCATATGATATTCTTTTTAAATAAGGAATTTTAGGACGCTTCTATTTGTAGAAGTGTCTGAGGAGGTCTTCTGTCAGGAATACACTCAGGAGGTTGCTCAAGTGTACTTCAATTTGTAAAATTCTCTCAGAAGATTTTCTAAATAGAGAAACATGGTTTAAATGCGTACGTGCACGCATTGGGTAACATTTTTTGGTTAACGTATGGCGTATACGTACCGTCATTAATTATACGGCCTGTAATACAACCACAATAATCAGTTGTGGCGTAGGTATACATAATGCCAACAGTTATACGCACAATGGTACAAAAAATCTTAAAATATTAGAATCTGTCCCCTTCAGTTGAAAATCAAACACGCATTAAATTTTTTTGGCGCCCAAATGTAATTTTTTTAAGTCTTCGGTAGCTATAATTGTATTTAAAATAACGTCTATATCTTGGGGAACATTTTATATTGATGGCGTATACATACCGTCATTATTTATACGACCTGTACTTCAAAAATAATAATAATCTGTGGCGTATACTTAATGACATCAGTTATACGCACAATGGCACAAAATAATCTTAAAATATTAGAACTTGTCCCCTTCCATTTAAAATTAAATACGCTTTAATTTTTTTTTGCACCCAGGAGGCCTTATATAGATATTTAGAACCTTAGGGGGTGTTCTATTTAAAGAAGATCAGAAGGTGTTCTATCTGTAGATGACCCTCAGGAGGTATTCTATCCTATAACAAAACAATTCAGGACGTTTTTCTTCGGTAGCCAGAATTGGATTTAAAATAACGTTTATACCTTGGAGAACATTTTATATTGATGGCTTATACTTACCTTCATTATTAATACGACCTGTACTTCAAAAATAATAATTATTTGTGGCGTATGCATAATAACATCAGTTATACGCACAATGGTACACAAAAAAATCTTTAAAATATTAGAACCTGTCCCCTTTAATTGAAATTTAAATTAACATCATATTTTATTTGGCGCCCAAATGTTTTTCCTATTTTTATTTCCCTCAGGGAGTCTATTACCTATACAGAAAGGTCTTTTTTTGATAGAAGACTTATACAAGGTATTCGGTCATAGAAGACTCTTAGAGGTCCTTCTGTCCATAGCAGTTTCTCAGAGATCTACTATCCACACCAGATCCTCTGCTTTCATCTGCCCATAGCAGATCCTCAGAGGTCTTTTGTTCCCAAAAGACCTTAGAGATGCCAATATTTATAGACCCACATGAGGTCTCTATGTCTCTTTGAGATCTTCTTATTTTTTTCTAAATTATGTTTATTAATTTATTTTAAATTTTTTATAGTTTTTGTAAATATGTAAATTTTGTATAGCATGCTTAATTAGGTTCATTATATCTATGTCTATTTATGTGTGTGTTCACTATGAATCTCTATGAAATTAATAACTAATCATGATTCGTTATCCTTTTTTCTCTCTCTCTTCCTCTCTTCGTACAGTCATCGTGAACAAGAGCAACGCAATGCCGAAGATGTTCTCTTCGATATGTTCTACAATGAGGAGACCGGCCTTATATCGATGGGAAAATTCTTGGCCGCTCTCAAGACCACTGGTATAAGACGCAGCGATCCACGTATCAAGGAGCTTATGGAAAATCTCAAGAAGGTACATAAGCTATCCAACTATGAATCGGGATCATCGGCTGAGACACAGAATTTGAATCGTGAAACATTTAAGGCGTAAGTTGAAGATTTTATTTTTCATTTTTTTAAAATTGAATTTTGTACAAAATCTCTTTCATTTTTTTGCAGTGTGGTAGCCCAAAACATTGTCTTGATTGCCAAAGCTTTCCGCCAACAATTTGTCATACCCGATTTCGTGGGCTTCGTCAAAGATGTCGAGGATATCTATTGGAAGTGTAAAAGCAACACCGATGGCAAGGTAGCCGATTATATCCCCCAATTGGCACGCTATAGCCCCGAATCATGGGGTGTCAGTATTTGTACCATCGATGGCCAACGTTATTCCATTGGTGATGTCGAAGTACCCTTCACATTGCAATCATGCAGGTAATTATTTAGTATTGGAATACATTTTCATTCATTTGTCATCGTCGAATTGAAGTCCTGTCAGGTTGGTGAATAAATTTGCCGATTTTCTGGTTTCTAAATTATGTTTTTTCTTTGTATGAAGAACCAAAAAAAATCTAATGTGACTTATTGCAGTTGTGATTGTTCAAACACCTCGTGAGAGTCGTCGTGACCAGAGCAGCGGCGAGCCAGTTGAACGAATTTCTTCTTCTTCTTTTGAAAGATAGAAAGAAAGACGATGGCCTGCTTGGTGGTTTGCATTGCATTGAAAAAAAAAACGCTTGGTCACCTCTGGCTGTGTGTGAAGAGGAGGAGGGTGCACGATGCTGTGGTGTGTGGTTGTTGTTACGACGTACCCACCCAGTGTGTGAAAAAAGGGGGTCGGTTTGATTAGACCACCCCCTAGCCATCCATCCATCCACCCACCATTGACTGTTCCATCCAACCATCTGTTCGTTCGTTCATTCAAGTGAATTCCCGCTGAATTCACACACACACACACACCTGAATGTTTGTTATGCCAAACATTTATTGTCAGTGTCACTGTCTGTCACTCTCTCTATCTGTGAAGAAAGGTCTGTTCTCTTATTAATTGCAACAAATTTTACTTTATAATTTCTTTTACAACAACATAGCAAACCTTTGACCTATGCCATTGCCTTGGAAAAATTGGGTCCCAATGTGGTGCACTCGTATGTTGGCCAGGAACCAAGTGGTCGGAATTTCAATGAATTGGTGTTGGATTATAATAGTAAGTATTCGGACATATTTTTATTAAAATTAAAAAAAAAATAGTAGCAAAAAATGAGGACCCATTGCAGGCCTTCTGCATATGGGAGGCCTTCGGTATATAAAATCAAATGTTGATTTTTAATTTTTGTTGTTTTTATTCTTCTGCAGACAAACCCCACAATCCCATGATCAATGCTGGTGCCATACTAACCTGCTCCCTGATACACGCCCTCATCAAACCCGAAATGACCATGGCTGAAAAATTCGATTATGTCATGAATTGGTTTAAACGTTTGTCGGGCGGTGAGAATATTGGTTTCAATAATGCTGTATTCCTGTCGGAACGTGAAGCTGCCGATCGTAATTATGCCTTGGGCTTTTATATGCGTGAAAATAAATGCTATCCGAAACGTACAAATTTGAAAGAGGTTATGGATTTCTATTTCCAGGTAAGGGTCAACGAGACAAAAAATTTAAAAATATTGAAAAAATATTCATAAATGTCCTTTCATTACAGTGCTGCTCCATGGAAACCACCTGCGAAGCTATGTCTGTTATAGCCGCCACTTTGGCTAATGGTGGCATTTGCCCCACCACCGAAGAGAAAATCTTCCGCCCCGAGGTGGTGCGAGATGTCCTGTCAATTATGCATTCATGTGGTACCTACGACTATTCGGGTCAATTTGCCTTCAAAGTAGGCTTACCGGCCAAGTCTGGAGTCAGTGGTGGTATGATGTTGGTGATACCCAATGTTATGGGCATTTTCACCTGGTCACCACCATTGGATCAATTGGGCAACAGTGTGCGTGGTGTACAATTCTGTGAAGAATTGGTGAATGTTTTCAATTTCCATCGTTATGATAATTTGAAACATGCCACCAATAAGAAGGATCCACGCAAACATCGCTACGAGACCAAAGGTTTGTCGATTGTCAATTTGCTGTTCTCTGCAGCGAGTGGTGATGTCACCGCCTTGCGTAGACATCGTCTATCCGGTATGGATATTACATTGGCTGATTATGATGGTCGCACCGCATTGCATTTAGCTGCCTCTGAGGGTCACTTGGATTGTGTACGCTTCCTGCTGGAACAGTGTCATGTTCCACACAATCCCAAGGATCGTTGGGGTAATATGCCCATTGATGAGGCGGAGAATTTCGGTCATCACAATATTGTGGAGTATCTGAAGGAATGGGCTGAAAAGACACAAAACACTGAAGATCTAACCACGGAGGCTGTGGTTAAGAATACTGAGGCGGATGAGGTGAGTGGAACGGGAGGAAGTGGAATGGAATGAAATTTGATATTAATTGTAAACTACTTTTTTATAGGAACTCATCACTCAGGACATCAAAACCGGTTATGATCGCAGTGCCACCGCAAGTCCCATGCCTTCGGAAGCCAGTAGCAGCAGCGGTCCCGATGATCACAGCCGTCCCGGCCTTTAAAGACTTAGATTCTATATATATAGTAATATATATAGAAGATATATACAAGTAGTATACCTGAAAGTAGCGGTTAATGGAATCTCTTTTTTTAATTTAAAAAAAAATATTTATTTGCATTAGGAGTTTCTTTTAAAGATATTTTTTCTACATATATAAAAGAAGAAGATGACGGATATAAGGAAGTTGGAATCAAAGGATTTGAATTGAAATTCCTTTGAATTGAAATTCCTTTTCAGTCGTTTAGATTGACTGAAGATTGTAAGAGGATTTCTAAAATACATTTCAATTATAATCATCTAATGACCTTATATCCGCTCCTTACCTTGCTAATATATGTAAATTCCACATAGTTATTGTATTAATTCCTATATGGAAAAAAATCGATAATGGTTTAAAGCTTTAGTTTCCAAACTCGAATCATAAAAAGAGGCATTTCGTTTTCTAGTTAAAAAGATAACAACTTAGAATACTTCCAAGTTCCCACAATAGAAAAAAAGGGAGGAGGGTAACCATAACACAAATGAATTTCCTTAATGGATATCCGTCCCCTTTTTGTAGCTTACTTCCAATAGAATTTTGTTCTTAATATTCCAAAGCCATATATTGAAAACTATACCAGTGTTGACCCCCGAGATATTAAGCTAAAAAACTTAATCCTGATAATGACAATAATACAACTTAATAATATTTATGCGAAAAGAAAAACCAAATCTTACTTAAATATATTTAAGATCATAAGTGTATATGTGTAATTTTTATGATTCACAATATGAGTACGTATATATATACACTCTTTATCCAAATGAGTTTCAAATAGTCCAATAATTTAATTTTGTTTATTTTATTTCCATAGAAATAGATCTCCATCGCCGCCACTTTACATACAAAACCCCCAAACTCATCTCCTAAATAGGAATTTTTGAAAATCACAACAAAAATATTCGCACTCAAGTTTCGTATTTTCATCAATGATTTTTTTATGATTGATATTCCTGTGATTAACTCGAAATCTTAATTATTTGTATTTAGAAGACATCAAAGAAAAACATAAAACAAAAAAAATTAAAAAAAAACAAAGCATCATGTCGTTACTTAATTTTATATATCATCACTTCTTTTTTTAAAAAATTAGTTTACTACTACTATAATTATTATTTGAAAAAATGTGTATTATTTTTTTAGCTTTGTTCATTATTAATTATTATTATTTTTTATAGGTTTTTATTTTTAATTATTATATATTGTAGTAATTCACCGGTTCCTTTTTTTAATTATAATAATTCATGCATAATCATACATACTTACATTTTAATATCTTCTAAGTCGTCTACCCTGAAAGAAAAAACAATAAGCATTTTATTATTTTTTGTCTTAGGTTATTATTAGTTATTTAGTTAACAGAATTATAATTATATATAAATTTATACATATATGTATTGTTGTATATACCAAATACCAAACGTATATGTATATACATTAAATTATATACTTAAATTTATCTATATTATATTATTACACCTGTATATCGTACTTTCATGATGTAATGACAATTATGAAGGATTGATTATCAATTAATGTTTTGAAAATTATTTAAAAAGGAAACAAGTGTTATATCGAAATAAAGTGTTTACCTATTTGGGGTATAAATACACCAAATAACAAAAAAGAAAAAAAATATTTATGTGTTTGAATTTTGGAATTAAAAAAAATATAATTTAAGGACCTATATTAGGTTTGTAAAAAAATATATTTTGTATGGGAACCTTCAAAGGCGTGGATTAAAAAAAAATATTTTTTAAGGGTCCTTTCACAGGCGTGGATTTTTAAAAAGAATATTTTTAAGGGACCTTTGAAAGGCGTGAATTTTTCAAAAAATATTTTTAAGGGACCTTTCAAAGACGTCGATTTTTAAAAATAATATTTTTAAGGGACCTTTCAAAGACGTCGATTTTTAAAACGAATATTTTTAAGGGACCTTTCAAAGGCGTCGATTTTTAAATAGAATATTTTTAAGGGACCTTTCAAAGGCGTCGATTTTTAAATAGAATATTTTTAAGGGACCTTTGAAAGGCGTGAATTTTTCAAAAAATATTTTTAAGGGACCTTTCAAAGGCGTCGATTTTTAAAAATAATATTTTTAAGGGACCTTTCAAAGGCGTGGATTTTTAAAAAGAATATTTTTAAGGGACCTTTCAAAGACGTCGATTTTTAAAAATAATTTTTTTAAGGGACCTTTCAAAGACGTCGATTTTTAAAAATAATATTTTTAAGGGACCTTTCAAAGGCGTGGATTTTTAAAAAGAATATTTTTAAGGGACCTTTCAAAGGCGTGGATTTTTAAAAAGAATATTTTCAAGGGACCTTTCAAAGGCGTGGATTTTTAAAAACAAATATTTTTAAGGGACCTTTCAAAGGCGTGGATTTTTAAAAAGAATATTTCAAAGACCCTGTCCCGATTCAAAGGCGTCGATTTTTAAAAAGAATATGCATAGAATTTTTGAGAATATGGGACCTTTCAAAGGCGTGGATTTTTCTGTCCATGTTAAATTGTAAACAATGAAGGTCGCATTTTTATTATTTGGATGAAATTTGGCCAAAGGCGTGGATTTTGGAAAAAAAGTTCAGATTTAGATATATATATATTTTCGTCCGATTTAATGTAAATGGGCACCTTTCTATATATCGATTTGAACGAAATTTGCACAGCGAACTGAATTAGGTCTAGAATATTTGTTAAGTTTCCCGAAAATCCTTCAGATTTAGATATAGCTCCCATATATATTTTCGTCCGATTTAATGTAAATGGTGTACCAAAGTTCCTAAATATCATTCGATTTGCACGAAATTTTGCACAGCGTACTGAATTAAGCCTAGAATAAGGTGTGTTAAGTTTCGTGAAAATCGGTTCAGATTTATATATATCTCCCATATATATTTTCGTCTGATATAAGGAAAATGGTGCACCAAAGTCCATATATATCTTTCGATATGCACGAAATTTAACACATCGTACTAAATTAATCCTAGAATGATGTGTGTTATTTTTCATTGAAATTGATTCAGATTTAGATACAGCTCCCATATATATTTTCGTCCGATTTAATGTAAATGGTTCACCAATGTCCCTATATATCTTTCGATTTGCACGAAATTTTGCACAGCGTACTGAATTAAGCCTAGAATGACGGGTGTTAAGTTTCGTGAAAATCGGTTCAGATTTATATATTGCTCCCATATATATTTTCGTCCGATTTAAGGTAAATGGTGCACCAAAGTGCCTATATACCTCTAGATTTGTACAAAATTTGGCACAGCATACTGAATTTAGTCTAGAATGATGTGTGATAAGTTTCGTGAAAATGGGTTTAGATTTAGATATAGCTCCCATATATATTTACGTCCGATTTAAGGTAAATAGTGCACCAAAGTCCCTATATATCTATCGATGTGAACGAAATTTGGTATAGGGTACTGAATTGAGTGTAGAATAATGTGTGATACGTTTCGTGAAAATTGGTTCAGATTAAGATATAGCTCCCATATATATTTTCGTCCGATTTAATGTAAATGGTGCACCAATGTCCCTATAAATCTATCGATTTGCACGAAATTTGGTATATGGTACTGAATTGAGTGTAGAATAATGTGTGATAAGTTTCCTAAAAATCGGTTCAGATTTAGATATAGCTCCCATATATATTTTTGTCCGATTTAAGGTAAATGGTGTACCAAAGTCCCTATATATCTTTCGATTTGCACGAAATTTGGCAAATCGTACTAAATTAAGCCTAGATGGATGTGTGCTAGGTTTCCTGAAAATCGGTTCAGATTTTGATATAGCTCCCATATATATTTTCGTCCGATTTAATGTAAATGGTGTACCAAAGTCCCTAAATATCTTTCAATGTGCACGAAATTTCGCACAACGTACTGAATTAAGCCTAGAATGATGTGTGTTAAGTTTAGTGAAGATCTGTTCAGATTTAGTTATATCTCCCATATATATTTTCGTCCGATTTAAGGTAAGGTGCACAAAAGTCCGAATATATTTTTCGATTTGCACGAAATTTGGCATATCGTACTGAATTGAGTCTAGAATGATGCGTGTTAAGTTTCGTGAAAATCCGTTCAGATTTAGATATAGCTCACATATATATTTTCGTCCGATTTTACATAAATGTTTGTCCGATTAACACGAAATTGTGCACAAAGTATCAAATTGAGTCTTGAATGACGTTATTGGGCTTTGTTGAAATTGGTGCAGATCCAGCCATAGCTTTCATATGTATTTCGAACAGTGTTTGATTGAGAATACATTTTTAACAGTGCGGCATACCGAATAGCTATAAATCATTTCCATAAATTTTTTTAAATCTGCGCGAATTAAATTTTTTAGACATGAATATGTTCCTTCGAGGGAACATTGACATACAATTAATTTACTGATTTTTGTTTTTCCTTACTGGTTTAAAATATGATTAAGGACCTTTGATATGCCCTCAAACATATTTAATTTTTTTCCTTAAAAATTTGTATGACCGTATAAAATATTTTTTTTTTTAATTTAGTGCTCTGTAATCAGTTCCCACTGTATTTTGTTAATGGTTCATGGTTTTTGACCCTACTACCTTCTGAAAAAAAGCTTTTTTGTATTGAAAAAAGCTTTGGTCCAACATGAAAAACTCGTAGCCCTAACATTACAGTGAGCATTTTAAAAGCTTGAATCCACATAACATTAGGAGCTACAACCGGGTATTCGTACTACTTCAATTTACAGGAAATGTCTGCCGACTCCTAAGGTCTCTGTTGTTGATATAGCTTTACTGTTATATTACTGTACCCCCGTACACAGTGCCATTAGGCAAATAAAGCCGTAAAACTATAGCCAAAAGCTTTAAAATTACTTTGCGTCGTACAACATCATCAAGCGGTTACAGTTCGAGGAGTCGCCGCCTCAGCACCGCACAACCGAACCTCAAACGAATGCCGAATGCCGCTGCATAGAAAAGCA